TTTCATCCATAAAAACCCAATGATTATTTCCAAAATTATTATTTTGGTAATTCATTTATTGGTATTTTATATTTATACTAAAATATGGCTAAGGTATTTTTACATATTGTTTTTACAAATTTATTTGGTATTTTTAAGGATAGAATTGCATAATTGCAATATTAGCCATTTTAGGTTTAAATTTGTCTCATATTCATAAAATGAGATTTCATATTTTTAAATGGATAACTATGTATTATAGATTATTTTGGTGCTTACAATTTATTTCCAGAAATCAATTTACTATTTTTTTATAATTTTAAAAGGAAAAATTGGCTATTTAAATAATAGCCAATTCGTTTCAATCTTAGCCTAAAATCTGACCCCAAATTGGACCCCAATTTCTAGCCCAATTTCAATTAAAACCCGACCCAGGCCCCAATTACCCCTACCCGACCCAAAACCATATTAAATCCTGGCCGTTGATCTAAAAGATCAACGGCCCTCATCCGTTCTTACCATTTTAAGCCAAACGACCCCCCCAAACCCCTCATTTGCCTCACTCGTCTCTATCTCTCCCTGGTTCTCTCCCTTCCCCTCCTCTCCGATGAGTTCCCTTGATCTTCTCCGGCCACCTTCTGACCTGAATTCATGATGGCTTCACCACCCACCAAGCCACGTATGGCTCTTCACGTTTGGTTACTGAATTTTCATGACTTGATCACGAAGAGTTGGGTCCATACCTCTGTCGATTCAAGTTCCACGGCCATCTTCGGCCTTGCTCCGGCAAGCCGTGTCTGTTCGAGCCTGGCCTCGACTCCTCCTGCTTAGATCCAAGCTTTTCTTACCGTTTGGGGTTCCTCTGAAAACCCTAGCTTTGAGATTTTTCTTATCTCTTTAGATCTGTTCCAAATTTATGCTTTCCCTAAGTTTTAAACGATCTTATGATTTTTTTTATGCTTTCAAAACCTTTATTTTCCGATCTAGGGTTTTGAGTTATGTGTGTTTCTCTAATTTTCTTCTTCTCTTGTGTGTTCTCTACTATGTTTCTCCTACTGTGTTCTTGTTAAATCTCTTCTACCATGTTTTTCTATTATGTTGCTCCTACTGTGCTCTTGTTAAGATTTTCCTACCATGTTCTTATTTGTTTCTTCTACCAGTTCTTCTACTATTGTTTCGCATATTATTTCTCGCTTTGTTTCTCATGAGTTTCTGTTACTGAAAAGCATGTCGAAGGTCCCAGTTCCTTTCTGAGATCTTTGAACCTATTTCGACTAGTATCTTTTGCTTTCTTGACTACTCGCCCTCTCATCTCGGCACTCGATTGATGGTAAAACCCTAAAATTTAGGGGTTCATCCGGGTTTGAGAACATTGGCTATGTGATATGTTTGTTATTCATTTTTAAAGCTGTCTGATTTCAGAAACCCTAACTATTTCGAGGTTCTGAACTTATTTCTCAACTGAGTCTCGAAATTCTTTCTCTCAACCTCTCACAGTGGCGGACCCAGGATTTTCATCAAGCGGATTCAATATATGAAGAAGTAATGCATAAAGAAATTAAAAAATAAATTATTATTAATTGAAAAAAAAATCTAATATATTATTCCAACTGTACTCTACGAGTTTTCATTTCATGAAACCTATTCATAATTGTTTCATCAGAAACACTATTAAACATTTCTCTTTCTACATAAGGTACCAAACAACCACTCATACATTCATCATTCATTCGATTTCGCAATTCACTCTTGATCAACTTCATTGCGGAAAAAGCTCTTTCAACTGTAGCAGTGGCAACCGGCAGGAGCAACGCAAATTTCACTAGGCGAAACACAAATGGATAATTCAAATGCTTCTTTGTCTTAACTAGCTTTTCAGAAAGATCACTAAGTTCTTTTAAATTAGAGAACCTTTAATCAACATCACAGACATCAACGATATAAGTCGCAAGCTGATTCTCAAGAGTAATCATAATATTTTCATCAAAATCATAAGGATATAATTCAGCCATTCTCAATATCTTCTTGATGTCAAAACTAGAAAATGAGTCAACTGGATTCAAGCAAGCAACTCCATAAGCAAATATGTTGTCTCCTCATTAACACGCTCCTCGAGTTCATGAAGTTGCCAATCAATAATCTTAATAAACACATTAACACGATAGTGATGTGAAATGGTATGCTCTGCAACTTTGCGTCAAGATCTTCCAGAGTTAACATAGAACTCATCAAAATTAGGTATCACTATGTCATGCTTGATACAAAATGCAGACACCTTATCAATAAGTGGATCTCATCCTTCATCCCTTAGCCTTTGCAATCGTTTCCTTGCCACATCAACAAGTAGAACAGCATTTGCAATATCCTGTTCTTTCTTCTGTAACAATGCATTAAGCTCATTTGTGATTACCAAAACATCTCTCATTAAGTGTAACATGAAAGCAACCTCAAATGTTTGACATTTTCTAAGATATCCTGTTGCCTTAGCTCTTTCTTCTAAAGATCGAGCATCAACAACGATAGTATCTAGAACATCAATAATAGAGCCAAACATATTAATAAAGTTCTTAAAAGATTTATAGTGCGACCCCCAACGAGTATCAACAGCTCTAGCTAGACCAAGTTCTTGATTTAAGCCCTTGCCAGTATCAATTTCTCCCATATCTAATGCCTCTTGAAGTTTTTCTGCTTGAGATTGTCGAAGATCATCCATACGCTTAAAAGAACCCCCCACTACATTTAATACGTTAGAAACCAATAACACAAGTTCTCCCACTTCAAGACATTTTTTACAGACTGCAACAAGGGTCAGTTGAAGTTGATGAGCAAAACAATGAATAGAATGAGCTAATCTACTTTCTTTTTGAATCAAAGTTTTAAGGCCACTTAGACATATTGCTTGCTCCATCATAGCATTATCCACGTACATAAGATAAACTCAAAGAATGTTGAGCAAGGTAATTAACAATTGCTTCCTTTAAACATAAAGCACTAGTGTCACGAACATGTACGATCCCAATAAACCGCTCCACCACACATCCCATTCTATCAACATAACGCAAGACAATAGCCATTTGTTCTTTGCGTGAAATGTCAGAAGATTCATCCACTAACAATGCAAATTTGTCACCATTTAGATCCTCTATAATAGCTTCAATTGTCTCAAGCTTACATGCAGTGAAAATATTTTTTTGAATTTTATGAGAAGTCAGCTTATCATTTTTTGGAGCCTTTTCCATCACAAGATCACAGATTTTATCACACCTTTTTGCATACCACTTAAGGATTTCAAGAAAGTTACCTTTTTTTAATGATGATTCATCTTCACGATGTCCGCGAAATGCTAATTCTTGATTGAGAAGGAGTCTCACCACCTCAATTGAAGCCTTTAAATAAAGTCGGTGTTCGAGCTTTGTTTGAGTGGATTGCCTATCAAATGCAGTTTGAATTGACTGTTTTTGTTGCATTAGATCTTCACATTTTTTCTTTGCTTGGTTATGAATACTGCTCAGCCCTCCAATATGCATGTCTAATCTTTTCTTTTTATGCCAACTTTTAAATCCTATACTCGAAAATACATCACCTCCACCTTGATGAATGCTTTCATCTTGAAATAAATAACAACACAAACAATAAGCTGCATCTTCTATCACGCTATACTCCAACCAATCATGATATTGATCAAACCATTTGGGATTAAAACGACGCTTTAAACCGAAAAAATCTCTTTTAGGAAACTTGTGATTTCGAGGTTGGTAAGGACCTCTTTGAAGGTAAGCTCTTCTAATTTCATCACGCTCATTTGGATGATAGTCCCTAATAGATATTCTTTCCTTTGGATCAGCCTTTAAAGAGCCCAGATCAACTCCTTGCCTTTGTTTTTTAGACGAAGGAGGTTGTTCTTCTAATTGGTTCAGATTTTCATCCCTGGGAGGAGCATTTTGACGGGAAGAACTTGATTGTGGCAACTTAGAAGATACTGGAGTGAAATATCTCTTCATTGAATTTTGAAACTGGATTACCAAATTAAATTTCTAATTAGAACAATAATTTAATAAGTATATTTAAACTTATGTTTCAACTAACATCACAAACAAGAATAATCTTAAAGTCAATTCACAAAATAATGATGGTGATTGGCGCCAATTCCCAAATTACAAGAGAGAAGAAATACTCAAACCCAACTGTAATTACCAATGATTTTAAGAGGTGCAAATTTTTCTTATTTGAAGAAATCACAATTCACACACAACCATGCTAATTTTATAATCAGAGATAATTAGATACATTATACAAAAAGTAGAGAATAAAGAAAAACTTGATTGGTGACTTTGCGGATGACGCGAGAGGTGGATTCTAGCGAGATGGCAGTGGGCAAACAAAAGCGAGGCTACGGCCGAAGGTGGAGACCTTGAGGTTTGAATATTTTACGGGTGAAAGTTTTTAACCAAGAGACATGAGGTTTTGAGATTGGGAGACTATTTAATATTTAATATGTAGTTTTTTTCTCCTAATTAATAAAGAAATAGGTTTACATGGCAAAAAAAAGCAAAAGAGAGGCAAAAACGTGTAGCCTAGGTCTACACTTTTCAAATTATAGTTTTATTTGGAAAAGAAACAAAAAAAAATATTTTCTATTTCTAATGAATATAGGAATAGGAGAACTATTTAATGTGCAAAGATGTGGGTTCCACGAAAGCTTTTACTGAGAAAAAGTAAAAAGCTTATACACAAAGGAAACGTTGTTGGCCAATTTCGAACTTGGGTTCCTTCGAAAATAATGAACCCGCTGTGCCAGCAAGCTAGGTGCTCTCTTTCTGTCAAAGTGGATTTAAAATCTTACTTATCCGCTTATTTTCTCAAAGAAAAATGAGATATACCTATATACACAGTATAACTTTTCGGCGAAGCGGATTCATATGAACCCGTTTGATCCCATGTAGGTCCGCCCCTGACGATGGACCGGCGGGGAGGGTCACTTAATACTCTGTTAGTTCGCTTAACGTGGGCCTCGAACCTGTGACCTAAGACACAAGTCCCTCAGCCATTACCAATTGAGCTAACCCCTAGGGTAGATGAAGAAATATGACATTCTTCTTGGGACAAACTAAAATGGAACGGAGGTCGTAAAAATATTATATAAAATACCTTAAGATGTATCTGTAATTATTATAGAATATTTGGTCACTTTACTAGTATGGGAAATAATTACTTATCATATTATATGTAGCCTAATATTCCTAACAAAGGAACCGCAGTTGTGATGCCAATATTCAAAGTCAATAAAAGGTTCCCTTTTATTTGCACATGGTAGCAAAATCTCCACGATCTAGGTAGATTCTCAAGTAACTTCTGCTTATAGGTGATGACCTTACGCCTCCCGCACTGCAAATGTTCTTGCTTTTGTCGCCTTTTTCATGGTCAGCACCGCTTCTTTATAGTGACTGGCACACTTCTATCTTTGATGACCGATGCCTCTCCTATTTCCAATGAACAACATTCCTCATCTTTCCTCTCTCTAGCCATCGTCACCACTCTTCTTTTCTCTTCAAAGACAATGCCCGGCGTCCGCTATCCAGCGGCCACGTTTCTCCACTTCCCTCCCAACAACAGATGCCCTTCTCTATCTTGCGATTAGCACTGTAACTATTTTCCTTCAGCAAAGAGCACCGCTCATTCCTCCTACTGATCAGCGGAACAACTCTCTCCTTCCGATGCTATTCTAGTAGTGAGTAGTGACATGCATCTTTCCGACCATTATTTTGACAACATATCTTACCCCAGCGACATTTTCAATGTAAGCTAATTTAAAAATGATTTTTCCGCTTCATTTGAGGGTGTACGTTGAATAATAAGAAAATTTGTCCAGAATAACACATCTTCGACTTATCAGGAAAGAATAATACGTGTTCATTGAACACGAAAATATTATATATACTGTAATATTTTATAGAATGAACACGAAAATATTATATATATTGCAATATTTTATAGAATGAAGACGAAAATATTATATATACTATAATATTTTATAGAATACTTCAGAATATTCTTATCTAATTATAGAATATTCACCTACCTTATTTGCGTAGAGACTTAAATGAAGAGTCCTCCTTTACATTGCTCATTGGTAGTAAATGACTAGTTCTCCAAATATAACAATAACTCTATCATCAAAAGTACATCATATCAACACCTAAACATAGAAATGCTTGAACCCATCTAAAGCCCAACCACTTCCTTAGAGGATATATTGTTAGAAATCAAAACACTTGTTTCCGTCATCCAACGACTATTAGATGTCACTTGATTTCTAAGTAAACCTCAGAGAGGCTATTTATCAGGAAAATTCTTAGAAACCTGGTTGAAGGCTAAGGCAAGGATAATGAACTACTTTTGTTAGAAAAACTCTGGTCTATAATATAACTAATACTGTCTCACTCAAACAATGTTGTTCAACTGGACAACTCCAATTGATCTTTTGGGATCCTAGCCTCTATTAATGTGTGTTTGGACAAGCTTATGTTATGCTAGCATTCTCCATTGCTGGGCATGCCCACAGCTTGCCCTTTGCCTCTTTCAATTTCCCTATTCCCCTGAACCCCTTATGTGTACTTATTTCCCTCTCTTTTTCCCCTTTCCCCTCTAAGAATTTTTCTTCTGCACTTGCACTATCTCTTAGTCTTTAAGTTCTGCCCCCCCCCTCTTGTGAGCCTTGCCTTGGGACCTTGAGTTCCCTCTGAACTTGGACACTTGAGGGTTGGCCTTTCCACACTGCACTTGTGTTAATCTGGTAATACATTTGGGTGTGAGCATTGCCCGGAGTCCCTTTGAGGCTCTTAGGGAACTTTGACACACTCAAATGGGAAAAAGGCTTTGGATCATGATCTTATGGAGTTGGTTTACCTCATATTTCAGACATGAAGTCAGAATCAGGCTCTCCTTGGTTGTACTTGTATTTGTATTTTTTCTGATGTATTTTTTTTTTTAATCTTGGCTGTAATAACTTGTAATAAACTCTTAGGGACGGCTAGTGAAAAGGGCAGGTAACTATGCATGCAAAGGGTAGATACCATGTCTATAGTTATTTTGAATTCTGCATATTCAAATGCATATAAAAATCATGCCTATAGGTACCTTTGAATAGTTTCTGCATATAGGAATCACGTTCATAGGGTTCCTAAAGTAATTTCTGCATTTAGACATCATGTTCATAGGGTTTCAAATAATTCATGCATATAGAAATCATGCCTATAGGCCCTTCTAGATCCTGTGTATTCATTATCATCTAGAAATTATGTCTATAAGTATCTGGAAATTTGTATTCTGCATATGCATATAGAAAATATGCCTATAGGACCTTTCAAATCCTGTATATTCATCTTTTCATCTAGAAATCATGCTCATAAGGTTGTAAAACAACTTCAGCATTTAGATATCATGTCCATAGGTTTTAACAATTTCCGTGCTTAGATATCATGTTCATAGGTTTAAAACGAGTCTTCTGCATTTTTATACCATATCCACAAAAGGCTTAAAACCAGCTACGCATAGAAAGTATGTCTATAGGAATTATTAATTGAATCTGAATCGCTTCATTCGCGCATAGAGCTAAAACCAGTAATAACGATGTATCATCATTTGCAGAACTTACAACCTTCGTAATAACTTGCCTTTCTTTAATAATCTGACTATCTTTTAACCAGTACGTATTCAGTTTATTGTTATTACGTTCGTAATTCAGTAGATACCATGCCTATAGGATCCTTTTCCAATACCTAGGCAAGCCTTAGGGTAAAATTAAATCCGTTTCTGTTAATAGCTACAACCAACAGGCAGGCCTGATTCAGGCTTCTTATCTGAATTATGTAACAAATCAGTCTGCCTCAACCTGTAAGTTCTCGCATG